ACCACCCCCCCCTGCAAAAAAAACATCCTATTTTAATTAACTCAGGATTTCCCAAACTTAATGACATAGTACTCTATTGAGAGTAAATGAGGAGTGTGTGTGTGTGTGTGTGTGTGTGTGCACGCACATGTGTGAAAGAAATGGGAAAATATCCCTTGGAATTACTGTTCTCTGAAAGATATTTCAGAATTAGCTGCTTTACTTTAGCAGCACATACTAAGTTAAATAAAACCACTCTCAGAGTACGTCAAACCTATGACTGCTAGACCAAGCAGTTCAGGGAGTCCCACAAAGAGAATTAAGAGTTGAAGTTTAACTATATGAACATTTTAAATTTTTATTAAGTAGTAAATGACAAGGATTGAGTATGAAAAGTTACCAACTCGTGCCTAGGCATAATAATTCTTTACGTCTTATACCAGCTGCTATATATAGTTTTAAAAATTAAAGTTAATTTGGAAACTATTACTTATGTCATTTAAATAAAAACATATTTTGTAGGTAACATAGTATAATTAGAGGTGGCCATGTATGCTTCATGTCTCTAAGCTCTCTCAGGTATCCATTTCTGGGGAGTCATAGTTATTAATAAGGTAACTTGTCATCTCGAGACTGCTCCTTGAACTACTTAGACAAGAACCTGAGGGAAACATCCAGAGGCAGCTCAGTGTTTCTCAGACTGACCTGAGTTCACCCTGCAGCTCTCCTGTCCCCTGCTTCACTGGTGGCTGAGGGTGAAGGACAGTTTCCTGTGTGCTCACTGTCTTCTGCCTTTTTTTCCTTTTGATTGGAGATGCTAAGGCAACCTTTCCACCATAGGTGGGGCCTACTCTGCTAGACTTTGCTTTGCAAACTCAACCCAATTTGGTGGTAGCAATATATCATAAAGGCATTACTGGTCTTCTTTCTCAGAACGTGCTTTAGATTCTTTTTTTCTTTCTTTTTTTTTTTTAGCTTCTGCTGTCTCCTTCACCTTCGTCTTATTAGGTTGACCTCGAATTACCTAGGCCATGGCAATTATTCCATCTTATTTTTTTTATGTTTAGGGCCCCTGTGCTCTCTGTCTAATTCTATTTTTCCTTTGCTAGTCTTCGAAATTCTCCTCTTACTTTAAGAAATGAGTACTTAGCTCTGATATGCCAACAAATTATTCTATGGTGGTTTCTGGAGCCTAACTGCAGATTCGCACCCATGCCCCCTGTGTCCCATCATCTGTCTTTCTCACTCTCATTTTCTCACAAGTGTACCGTGGCGTTTCCCGGAGGCTACATGACACACAGTGCTGCAGCAAACAGAATGGGAAATGGGAAATCCAGATCCAGCTGACTTCCGTTGAGCCAGTCATTAAATATACCTGCTTTGAAGAGACTCAAAGGTTTTTTCTTTTCTTTCTACCTATAAATATCTATTATGTCCAACATATCATACTCAAGAGTGTAAAGTGATTTAAAATAGGTATAAATAAAGACAACAATTTTTTTTTTTTTTTTTTATTGCCAGATGGCATGCGTGCTCACCAGAGAAGGCATTGCCCCCATGGGAACTGCTCCTGTCACAATCCTTTTTCCTTCATTTTTTTATCCCAGCAGAATTTGGGGTACATATATGCACACGAGCTCCACATGCTGTTCAGACTGCCTGGGCCAGTATTCGAACTGCAGCCAGCCATGTGGGGTTCAACTCCCTTAACCACTGCACTCCAGGGCAGCCCTATTCATCTGTTACTTATAATTCACAAAGGTAGCTCCACTGTAAGACTTTAATCCTCAATGTTACTAGTAAAAAAATTTTAGTCTCAATCTTGAGATGCCTAGATGTCCTTCAGGATTAAATACACAGCTTATGAGCAGAGAAATACTTGCTTTTTTCCTGTCTCCACTGCTCAGCAAAATCAGTTTACTTCTCTCTGAGGTCTGAGAAAAAAAAACCCTTATTTTTAACTCTCTTATTTTTTTAAAGTAGTTCTCTCTTTTTGCTGTATTCAAGATACTGCTGCCAAGCCAATCATATTTTCACATTACCTATCCCTTGGTATTCTCTCTTCTTGGATAGTACTGGCTTCATCTGAAATTCGAGACTGTAAGTTGCCCTTCTCTTATTGCAATTCCTTAAGACTCCTTTCGGTATTCTTTCCATCTGACAGTTGCTAGGCTTGCAACTGTCAGTAGCTGGGCCCTCCCTTTTGTTTACTAGGTTTCCATTTACCACCTACAGACAAATACCTGGGGTGTGAACCATGTTATAACATGGCGCCATTCACTCTGGGCCCTGTGTGAACGGGCTGTTAGTTGCCTGGGCAGCTTTCTGTAGGGAAGGTTTCTTTCTCCACTTAAAGACATTATTAAACCTATGGATCCATTATGTATGTCTGCTTCTCTACCAGTTAGTCTTCTCATCTGTCAAATTCTATATTTTCTTAGGCTTCTAAGGTGTTCAGTTCAAGGCTCAACTTTCCCAGAGTCAATATTCAGCTTATGGCTAATACAAGAGATAGAGGAACCTGCCCAATGATATTTGGAGAGGACAATCAAGAGAAAATCCAGAAGGTGGGAGCATTTTGTGGGACAACTGGCCCATCACTTCGACAAGTCATTGACAATAAAAGGGACGATGCCAGATCAAAAGAGACTTGAGGGGCAAAACGTCCTGGTAGAATGTGATATTCTGAACTGGACGCTGGAATAGACAAACCAGCTATCAAGGGTGTTTGGACCATCTGGGGAAATCTGAATATGATCTGGCCATCAGGGCAGATTCTGATGTTCTGAAATAGAAAAGTGGAGACGAGTGCCTAAAAAGAGCAGAGTGTAAAGCAATATGTATAGCTCTGGGTTAAAAATTACATAAATTATTTTTAGAAAAATGATCTGAAAAATAGCAGTTGAAGTGTTACTAGTACTGTTACCTGAAAGGTGGGAGTGTGATGCTCCAGTTGTTTTTTTTTTTTTTTAAATTGTATCTGAGTAAATGGTCTACAATGCCTATATATGGCTGTAATAAAAGGTTTTAAAAATGACTCACTTTCTCCCAGAACACTTAACCAAAAAACTTCACACCCACCCAGCACGCCCTGACTCTGAAAGTTCCAGGCATGTTCTACTGCACAGTTATGCTGAGCTGTCACACTTGATTCTGATTTGTGTGTGTGTGTGTGTATGTGTAGCCCTTGTCCCCCATTCTTCAACTTCTTTTGTGGTCCCAAATCACCTCCATTTTACTGCACACTCCATATTACTTTAGTCAAGTTAAAACATATGCAATTAGGGCCAGCAGGTGGCATGAAGGTTAAGGCACTGGATCCCACATGGCTGTCTGCACAGTTTGAGTCCTGGACCCAGTGGCTTGAAAAATCACCCCCAGATGCATGTGCATGTGTGCTTCAAATCCCAAGAGGAGAATGAAGAAAAAGGGACTGCAGCATAGCCATACTCCCTGGGGGATGATTTCTTACACCCCCCCCCATCCTTTGGAAAGCACATGTCCTCTATAACAAAAAACTAAAAACGAACGAACAAAAAAAACAAAAACAAAAACAAAACCTATGTAATTAGTAGATATCTTCCACCCAGCATGGCCAATGATATGAATAGGAAGAATGCAACGGGAAATTTCAGACTTTTTAGAATAAAGCTTAGTATCACACACATTTGAATAAACTTAAGTGACATATTTTATCCAACACATGATAGTCACACTATTAAAACTCTTAATCAGTAGCATGGTTAATTGAGATGCCTATTATAAATTACATTTCCCACTATTAGTAAGGTAATTAATACATGTTTATTCATATGACTTTAATGTATAACTGAAGAGGTTTCAAAACCCTTCCTAAAAGTACTGGAAACAACACAGTTTCAGTAAGAAACTCAGATCAGCATATATATCTTTATTTGTATCTGAAGTGATTTTGAAAGTGTTTTACTTAACATATGTCAAAATTATAGGTAATGAACATTTGATTTTACTTCTTGGGAAGGCTAATAAGCAGGAAAACCAAGGAAGATATGCAAATAGATGTTTATGTTAATGAGTTCTTTAAAATATGCTTCATAAAAGTGCTTGGAATATTAAATGAGAGTCCAACTCACAGCTCTACCTGGGCAAGAATTAAATAAGTTTTCTAAAAAGGCACTAAAATGAAACAGTACAGATAATTCATTCCCAGCTTTCCACTGCAGACCCAGACCCCTCAACTCTGGTACCAGGAGACTGAAAACACTCTTCGCCTTCTATAAAAGGGACAGTCAATGGAAAGTCATTCACTGAATTATGAGCAGAGAGTTTCTCATTCTCATTAAAAACTAGTTTTGCTTTTACTTTGTCTTGTTCACGTTGGAAGTGCGTGTTTTCTTAAGCTAAGTTGATTTCAGGTTCTCTCCAAAATATTACTGTCTGCTTAATTATTTGAGTTGGCTGAGATACTAAGTCCTCTTTTAAACCTGATATATCAAGCTCAAAATGGTTCTCTAACGCTGGGCTCACACACTCAGTTTAAGTAAAAACTCATGTTACTCCACACAGATGGGGTCGGTTGCTGAGAATGTTTTTAATAAATGATGAGCTGCTACAAAATAACCTTCTGATATTAAATTATTTCAATTTGTTATATTCTGATACATTCTGATATTCCAACAATGTTTTGAATTCATAAAATACCTCTTCACCCCAGGATTTAAAAGGTTCATTCAAACATAAATCCATTAATCTCCAAACTGCCCTGAGAAGTCAAAAGAGCATATTCTAACCCTGCATACAAAGTACTTCCAGAATGAGCTTATAAATCAGTCATGTTTTCAGCCATACGTACAGAAAACTACAACTCTACATCTCCCCCATGAAGAAACAAGAACATTCCATATAGATAGAGGTTGCTTTTAAAAATTCTCATGCAAGCATTTTAAGACTAAAAACACCTTTTCTACTCTGTTAAAAAGTTACGTCTAAAAAGTAAATCAATGGCAGATATGAGATTGCTATAAATTTTGAAAATTGCTTACCTATTAATGTAACTGAGGGCAACATAGGTTGGCTGCTGTAATTCTTGTTTTTCTAAAACACGTGGATCTGTATCTGCAATAAAAGCACAATTATGATTTTTCAAGTTTTGCATCAGAATATATGAGTCTACCTAACACAAAATAACAGAGGCTATATAGAGCAAAAGATTAATTCAGTATACCTCTTTTTTTTTAAAAAAAAAAAACTCGGTCAGCAAAGCACAATCATTTGTTCATTCATTCACAAATAACAAGATATTGCATTACTTTTCAAGGGAATTCCAAACATCAACAGTGATAAAATGTCCATCTGTCACACAAACTCTTGCACAATCCCCCTCATAAATATTGGTTTTCACTGCTTACAGTTACAATGTTGGCATGGTTTTCGGTGGTTAATCGGCCTAAGAAAGAAAGTCTCTGTTAATTATGCTCACTTCAAGGCTGGAACAAATTAGTTTCCATTGGAAAGCTCCATCAATTTGAAAATCTACTGAGTATTGTTCTTGTTCACTGAACACTTTTCTGAGTTGGGATTCATATTCTGGAGGGCAGCTCTTCTCCTTTTAAAATGTATAATGAGTTTATTAGAACTTTTCTAGACTTCCAGTTAGACATTCTTACACTGGTTCAGAGTCAACAAACACCGCATTCACCAGAAGTGTTTTCCTCTTGAAGAGACAGAATTCAACACCATAGCAACGCTCCATAATGGTGCTTCTCCAGCAAGGCACCAAAAACGGACTCTTCACAAGCAGACGTCGATATTCTCAAGCTTCTCTCGCAGTGGTATTTGCATAAATGTATGTATAAACAATGTTTATACAGTAAGAACATGAAGGGAGGAAAACGAGCACACCCTTCTGGGTTCTTAGAAAAAGGTGCAGACATTGCACAGAGATTTCTTTTCATTATAACCTCATTTAAAAGCTATCTCATTATTAGAAATCTCCCAGGTGCACTTGGCAGCAACACCTTCTTTGATGTAATGACAGATGTTGTTCAAGCACCTTTGCACGGGAAGTGTTCGGTGCATGTGGTAGCTGGGAGATCCATGTACTAACTCCAAGTGCATTAACAGGTGATGGGGGAGGGAGTAGACACAGAGGAGAGAACACGGGTGGTAATGATGATAGTATAAAAACCGATTCACAATGCTTTCGCCTCCCAGACTAACGCCGGACAGCAGTGCCAGTTTTATTCTTAGTTGTTAAGGTTAAGAATCTCGTGTTCTCTTGATTGTTTCTTTTGTGCCAAGAATTTCAGGGACGTACTATTCAGAAATTCTGCTTCCTGGGTTTTTGCCATTGCGGGTCCTTGAAAGCCAAATTTTGAAACGAGACAAAGATTCTCTGAATGGCTCCATCGAGTCGGGTCTCAAGGTTTTGGCAGCACAAACGGGAACAGATCAGCAACTCAGCATCTCCTCCTCTTCCAACAATGATTACATATGCAACTGAGGCTACTCCTCGATTCCTGGCCTCTAGATAAAATGAGTGGTTCTCTGAGACAGGGAAATCACTCTTCAAGGGGAAACCATTTTCAGATACAACCCTAACTGATACTTGTCCACGCTTGCTGTAACCCAAGCTTGCTGCACAGCCATGGTTCTGAGAGGCATGCACTTGCAGGAGAGGAGTCCATAGAACAATGTCCAACAGGTGAAGGGGTCTGTCCAAAGAAATGACCTATTAGAATGCTGGGCAGGCTATGTGTGCAAATGGTGATGGCCATACCGCTCCTGCAAGGTTTTTCTAGATGCCTAATGAGATGAAAAAACAAACAAACCAACCATGAGAATGAAACCATGAGATAGAAACCATGAGAATGAAAAGAAAGGCTGGAGATAAGAAAGAACAAGGCAATGATCGCAAATGTCTTTGCAGAAAATTTCTCAAGTGCTCACAACATGGCTTCACCTCAAATTTTGGTACTGATGGATGCTTTTGGGGCAGGGGCCTAAATTGGATTCATGGACTATGTTCCTTCAAAGAGACATGCGGTGCATGATTACATCAAGTATATTACTTTGAAAGAAAGAGCACTATTCTGATTATAAAATTTGTGTACGAATGGAAAACAGTTAAGCGGTCAGCATTTTTATAGTATCTTTTGTTTTTGCCTTTATTCCTGTAACTGGCCCCAACCTAATATTATTTCCTTAAATCATCTTCTAATCCTTTCCTTTATTTCTACATTATATAATTTTTGAAATATTTCTCTAAGCTACCTTGATTTTTATTTTATTCTCATTTGTGTGTGTGTAGGTATACCTACATAAATGTTTATATTTTCTTTCCTTGTTTAAGTTCTAATCTCTCTTTGGGGAAGGGGTAAGAAGTACCTTATACAACATTCTACAGTTCTCTGATAGAGTCCCTGACTCTGATATAATCTTGTAATCTTGTTTCATAAAGAAAAAATGTTCAGCATTCTATTTGCAAAGCAGGATTTTGAACTTTCTTACTTCTTTTTTTTTTTAAACTTTCCTTCACCATTTTCCATATCCTGTGCTAGACTTTATGCTCACATACCTTCAAATTCTAAGTGGTAAACTGACACTGGGAACTTCCAAATGCCTCCCTCTCCATGACAAAATGGCCATCTTGAAGCACCTAAAGCCTGATTCTCCTCTTTTCCTACAATGGAAACTCTGGTAACCAACAAGGACTTTGACAGCCATCCATCAGGCCTAACACCCCTTTTTCAGATGAAATGTTTCCTCAGGCAACCTTCACAACATCTATTTAAGCTTTGAGTTCCTCCATCCAAATTAGGCTGTTGGTGCCACAAATCAGGAGAGGCCTGCCCAAGTGCTCCTGGAGGAACGGCTTCAGCTGCTGGTCACAAATAAACATTGGTCCCATCACTCGCTTCCTGGCTGGCTGCTGCATGGTGATCATGACTCACCATTTTATGGATTTAATTACGCTGTTGAGCACTCCACATTCAGTGAAAGTATAATAGCTGCCTTCATTATTCCTTCCTCCCTGACTGAAATGTAACTGTCTGATGCTCAACACTCTCTATAGGAAAGAATAGAGAGATGAGAGACCAGGCATTTTGCGGCAGGATGGTCCCTACAGGCACTGCACGATGACATGCTTCTCGTGAGGATTCTGAACCATTATCAGAGCGAACTGGAGAAAGTAACGCTATCAATTAGATATTACTCAATTCCATGAAAAGAACTTCCTTACAGTATGTGCCACACAATCTGGAGATTTCCTTTTTCTTCCTGCGTAAGTCGCTACAATATGGAATATAATATAAAACAAGATAGCCGTCGCACACCATGTCCCAGATATTTGTCTGGCCTGCTTGTTTATGATGCCGATAAACATGAGGAGCAGGAACATTGGTTACAATTGCCCAGAGATATAATCCGCCTCAGCAAATGGTCTGTGGGATAGAAGTACTTGAATTTTTCATAGCCACACAACACTCCGTAGCTCACAATTTGGCAAAAGAATAAGCATTTCTATAATGGGGCCATCTACGGCCACACACAACACTACCTCTTTTATATGGACGAGAAGTAACAGGAAGTTAAACTCAAACGTTTTCAGCAGGGCAGACTAGAAGCAGAGCATAGCACTGACAAAGACCATGACGCTGTGTTCTACCTCAGACCACCACTGCATACTCCCTCTCTTGCATACTTCCAGACTTCAAGTTGACTGATGCTAACAAAATTTAAATATTAGAATGTATTTTAAAATATTGAAATAATAAAACCTATTAGCTTACTTCAAAGTTTCCAAAACACAGCATCCTCTAAAGTAGACAGCAACATGCATATGATTACTGTCTCAGGGTAATACTTAGAATGTACAGCTCTATAATAGGAACTTGGCTATGTAACAACAGACATAGGGACAAAGTGGAAGCTTTCTGTCGCTCATGTGGTCTTAGTGAGTCATGGCTTTATAGACTCAATTAAATAGTAAAGAGCTCCATGTCATAGCACTGGTTCCCAGTGCTTCCCAAGTGGCAAGCAAAAATGTCAGGCAGATGGCAGAAAAGGAAAAGGTGGCATTCAGACCTTTCTTAATAGCAACTAGAACTGCCATGTGATGGAGCAAAGGCAATAGTCCCTTGTTCAATGTGTAAGGCCCATGTTGATTTATTTTGCTGTCCCCAATACTGGGAGTCAATGGCAATCAACTGTCTGGATTTGTGACATTCCTAATGAATAGCTTTTGTGATGCCATCTCCAAGCTTAAACAAAAACTATTGGGGTTATTTTCAGGGTAAACCGAGGCTAATTAATGGGTGCCTGGGCTATGCTCTAGCTAGTCTGCACTGCTGGAATTTTATACATTTAGACCTGCTTCTAATTTAAGTGAGCCAGAAATCAGCTGCAGGGCCTCTGGACAGTACTAACAAGGCTGCTATGGGAAACGTATTTGCAGGAGGGGAGGCAGCAGTGAAGGCAAGATATGATATCATGCCCGTTGAGAAGGCCTTCTTCAAATTCCACAGCCTCTGAATGGCTGGTTCTTTTTTAAATGTGTCTAGCAACAGTGGGAGGCCTGTGAAGATGTGATGGGAAGATGGTGGGGAAGGGGAGGTTACAGCTGGGAGACCCTAGACAGGCCAGATGAGTGATTTTGAAGATCTGCGCTGGATACACCATTTTCCTTGGAATCACTCAGTAATAATTAGGGGGTGCAATCTATTTTCAGTCTTCCCCCAGTCATTGAACTTATAAAGTTCCAGAGTTCCAGAGTGCTCAGCATAGACTTCCATCCTGGGCAGGGTACACCACGTCCTCCTATGAGCTCTGTACCACTTTATTCCTAGCATCACCATTGCACTTATGCCGCTGGAAGGGCATTATCATGTATATACTTTTCCCCTACATTTCTCAGAGGTGAAGAACTTACTCAACTCCTTTTATCTTTCCACCACTCAGCCGAGTGTCTGGCACATTGAAGATGCAAATGACTATTGAATGTATACACTGATCAATTAACTTCATAATGAGAAATTGAAGACTCTTGGTTAAACATGGTACATTCATCAAGGATATTTGTTTCCTTCACCATCCAACATCCCACTGAAGTGGAA